GCTGATATTGATATCAGTTTTTTGGTATTGGATCTGTCAATAGCTCATATTTTGCGCTGACATTCAATATGGTTCATTAGAATTTGACCAAAGTCAGGCACCTAAATGTCAATATTTTTTTATTCCTGACAGAGAAGAAAAGACTGGAGCAGCATTCATGGGTAATAAGACATTAAAGTGTTCCAGACAACTGAAGCCCAGACAAATGGAATAAGTAGGTTTAGTGGCTCCCTGTAGCATAAGAATCATTGCTTTCCTAAAAAATAAACCCAACCTTCTCCATTATTCCTTAAATCAAAGTTCCTAATGAGCTCAGCAAAATGGAAAGCTCTCTTCGTCCCTGCATCCTTGTGTCTTTTTCCTTTTTTTCTACAGATTTTTGACTCAACGGCCTCCAGTTTTATTCAGCAGTTTAAATGACACAGTGCAGACGGGACGTTTGAAATGCTGACAATGCTAACAGGTTAATTCCTGGAGCCACGCTGTCTGGTCTCAACAGATATACACAACAACACCTTTCTGTGTGTCCTTGGAAGTGAAACTGTTTGTGTGCACTAGAGTGTTTGTGTATCGCGCGCTCCTCGCATGTATATGTAAAGTGTCGACTTGATGAAGTGGAAGAGGAAAAATTACGAGCTGCGTTCTCTGCTGTTCGTTATTTTCCATCTAAGGGGAACGCAAAGACATGAAACACAAATACACCTGCCCACACAACGACTCATGCATGCACGTCGTCTACAGCACATCCAGAGTGACTTGTGCACATAAACATAAAATTGGAGCACATGTGCATACGCACACAATTAGACATACATAAACTCACAGAAGCAGAAGCAACATTTGATATATACACGGTGTACATGTACGCTACAAGAGCTGAACGTGGCACATAGTGCTGACAATGACAGTACTTTAATTTATATAAGCACCATGCAAATTAAGCCAGTTGGCATGAAAAGCTGAATAACTTTATGCCTTGTGTAATGTAGATAGAAAGTCCCCAAAAGGTTTCCTTTTCTTTTACTGTCATTGTTTGAAACTTAGTCAAAGGATTTCATGTGCAAAAGCCATTAAACCATTGTACAAAGTGCCATAACTGTGCTGTGGTTACAGTACACAATTTGAAAAACTGTAACTGATATGTTGTAAACTTTGTTACAGCTCAGCTGATCCAAAAATTGCGCACATCAAAACGTGTTTACCGGTCTGTGGCAGACACATCCGCATGTGTCTAACAAATTCCATAAAGTGTTTTGGAGCCCCAGAGGGAGCCATGTGAAGCCTGAAACATGTCTTGAAATGATTTTTGCTTGGGCCAGCATCAGCTGGCCCAGAGGACAACATATGTGGAGATGAGGAAAAATCTTAAGGTATAAAACTGCTCAGACAGTGTTTCAGTGTTTTGTTGCTGTGTTGGGGAGGAGGGTAACAGGCTGCGTTGAAAAAACACATTTTGATTATCCACACAGCCTGAAATTAAAAGTTCGTTTTGGTGCAAATTGTTCAAGAAAGACTAAAAGGTTTGGAGTTGTTGTTGCACTCACCCCTGTGGGTTTAAGTTGTCCAGTCACGCCCATCATCTGCGCAGTGATGTCTTAGTTAGAAGCACTGGATTCCAACCTTCTAGTTTCTTTCTGTGTGGAGTTAACACCTTTTCCATTTCCCTGTGTGGGTTTTCTTCCAGGTAGTCCGGCTTCCTCCTGCAATCCAAAGACATGCATGTCAGGTTAATTAGTTATTAGGAAGCTGCCATAGGTGTGAATGCCGCATCCTTAAAGTGCTTAGGAAAAAACTAAAAAGTTCAACTGTGGCTTTGTACAATACCATATCACAGTTATGGTTTGAATAATTCCACCACTAGATGGCAACACATGCAGGATTTTCAAAGCAATTTCAGTGACTCCAAGAAAATGTATTAAACACACCAACCTTTATGAGTACATGCTTATTTAAAATATGGGGGTGGGGGTTGGGTATAATTTTAACTCATCAATCCTAAAGCTCACTTGAGATCCAACAGAAATGCCTCTGAACAAAAAACTATTGTGAGAGCAGAGCTTTAAGCATCTGTTGCTGAGATGTTCTGAGATGCTGCTTGATCCCTTGGACTGAAGTTGCAGTGCTGAGCAATAGAAAATGCTGGCAGTTGAGCAGTGTAGATGCACTCCGAGAAACTCTCAGATGAGTCCTCTGGCATTCAAAACACACCACCACCCAAAGAAGACATCTAGTCACGGGTTTGCACACTTTGTGAAAACTTTGTTATTGTTCCTTTAAGTCAGAATGATGCATGGAGAGGAGGAGGGTGGGACAGAGGGAGTAACAGATGGATTGATGCATGAACAGATCTTTGGGGAACCCGGATTTGCATTGAGAAAAGAATGAGAGCAAAATAAGGAAAAAAAGAACAGGAACATCGTGTCCCCTCGGCAGTGGTGATATGTTAATGTAGAGCCTTCACTGGGGCTTGCTTTGGGAGCATATTTTCTTTGTAATTTGTCATCCTCTCTTCATCCATCGTCTCATGCCCAGCTAAGATTTAGTGGATGCATCATTAATCCACTCTGCTTTACTATCTTAATCCGGCTCATTATCGCTGCTCTGGTTTGACTAAAGGAGCTCAGATTTATGTCTTGCAGGGTTTTGCCGCTCCTGTTGGTTTTGGAGGGAACACTGACTCACCGCAGCTCTTCGCCCTGGAGCTGACTACTGAGACATTTAACCATCACAGTTCACCCTGTGCAGTTTTCTGTGGCTTCTGGAGTCCTTTGTGACCACCTTTTTTCCCCCACTTTTATTTCTTTGTGTCAAACTCTGACAGAAAAAAAAACCCGTTTCAGATGTGTATGGTTGAAAGCAAGAGATGTGAGGGCGATAACACTGATGGAGGCATGTAAGGGAAACCAGAGAAAAAGCCATGGGGGGAAAACAGTGGTTATGAAAGCTTTCAACATCTTCTGTAAACCAAGTTTGAAACAATCACGGCTGAAATGAAGCAAAGAAAACACTAAACGTGTGCAACACTAACTATGAGGTGCAAACAAATCACACGTATCAGAGCGATTCGAGAGAAAACGAGGTGCCCTGTGGATCCAGCTTCATGTAAGTGAGATTATGTAATCCAGGCACAAATTCTAAGAATTGGCTACAAATAAATATTGATGTAGTCTTTTTTTGTTTTAGATTCATATGCACTAATACCATAGCACCACATACTCTGTGCCTTTGGAACAAAGACATGATTTCAGTTATGTGCAAATAGAGATTTCAAAAGCACAAACGTTATCAGGGAGCTCCTGTGGAGTTTGTGACTGCTAACAGCGCCTTCTAGTGTTCAACACCTAAACAACAAATCACCTCCGTGGATCCTCAGCCTGCAGGAGCAGGATGAGATAAACCGATAGCCACGTTTAGGAAATGATTGTGGGCCAGTTTATCAAGCGGTGAGTGAATATGGGAAGGAAAATCGACACGGCTTCCTGACTCTCTGCTGGTAGTGAAGAAAGAAAGAAAATCTGTCCTAAAAGCTGCAGAGATGGGAATAACAGCCCCGAGTGTGTGATCGAGAGTGCATATGTGGTAGACACGCACACACAGACACACACGCTGAAGCAATCA